CCCCAACTCACCTCTTTCCTCCTGAGCCACAGCCAAAAGCTGACCTTCTCTGCCTCTTCTGCCAGTTCCCTAATGGCTTTCCTGTGCCCTGCTCCTGTGCATCCCATGTCGCGGAACAGGCGTACAGTTGAGGACCCACTTGATGATGGTTTTCCAGCCAGCCTTTCTGCATTCTGCTGCCAAGTCTGCATACTTTGCATGTTTCCGCTTGTTGGCAGCCTCAATGCCTTCCTCCCATGGAACAGTAAGCTCCACCATCAGAATGGTCCTGCGTGGTTCTGACCACATGATCAGATCTGGCCAGAGTGAAGTTTCTGTGATCTCCCTGGGGAATTGGAGCTCCCTCCCCAGGTTGACCCTCATTGACCACTCACTGCCTGGTGAGTGTACCGTTGGTGTTACTCTCTGGCAAAGAAGGTTGGCGTCCTCGCCGGCCTTTGCAAACTGTATCAGAGGGCGTGCTGAGGTAGAAGGTCTGTTGTTGGCCTCCTGTCTGCATGACTTCGCCACCTCTGCCAGCTTCTTTAACACGAGGTCATGAGGCCACCTGTAGCGGCATTGGGACAATGCGGTCTTACAGCCTGACAGGATATGCTGGAGGCTTGCATTGTCAGTGCTGCACAGGGCACAGGACTCTTCCGCACCAAACCACAGGTGGAGATATCTGGGACAAGGCAGGGTATTGTAGGACAACCTGATCAGGAAGCTGAGCTTGGCCTGGGGGATCTTCCACATATCAGTCCATGCCAGGGGCCTGTCTGTAACACCTTCCCATGACATCCAGCCTCCCTGTCAGCTTTGAGCCACCGCTTTGATCTTAAGGCGTTCCAGCTCAGTCCTTGTCACCTCTACCACCACCATGGCTTTCTGCTCTTCCTTCAAGGCCTTTGACCAGTTATCTGCCATTGCAGCAGTTTGCAGGATGTTGCTTCAGATTATTAACCAAGATGCTCCATTTTCAGTAACTCAAGTGTGCCCCCTAGGTTACAGAATAAACACTGTAGTAAACACTCTGAGACATACATTTTAATAAGGCTGTTGCAATAAACATGATTTAAAATCCTTGAATTCTCCTTTTGATCCCTACTAAGAGATCACAACCAAAGCCCTTACAAAGGAACATCCATGTAGTAGTCATCATCCTCTTTAGTCCTTGCCTCGTCCGAAACTGAACATATTGCTGGACACGTTGCTGGTCTGAGGGTGGACAACCTCAGCCGGTTCCAGACTCAGGGGATTAGTCTGCCCCTGTTGTTGAGAGCCTGGGTTGGAGTTGTCTTCCTCCGGTGTCTCCTCCTGGGGTGAGCCTGTTTCCTCTTGGCTGGCTAGGATCTCTTGCACCGTTCGCCCTGGTTCTGTAGCCAGGGTGCACTGGTTCCAGTGGTACCAGGTGTCTCCTTTCCCTTTTAGTCTCACTGCG